CCTAGCCTTAAAAGTTTACTTTACTTGAATTAAACAATAAAATAGAATGAAAATAAAAGCAAATTAAGATAAAACCATGATAAAAACGGGGAGCAAAAGAAATCAAACATTTGGGCCAGAACCTTAAACTAATAACCTTAAACAGTTAATAGTTTAACTTCAACAATCAAAGGCAGCTCTAAACAAATTTCTTTTTAACTTTAACTTCAAAGAAAAGGCTTTGTTTAGTTTGTCAGTCTTTTGGGAGTTTGTTGTAGATCAGTGAAGCATAGGAACTAAATGCTGATTCTCCATGTTTGGTTCCATTTCTGGGTGGATATGTCAGTGACTGTTTCTGTGTGTTTAGGTGTGACAGTTAACGGTAAGCTAACAGGCGCTCCGGCTCCACCGGGGAGCCACAAGCAGCAGCGGACATACTTCAGCAGCATCTTGGTTGTGGTGGACCATCCGAGACGCGCCTATATTGAAGTGACGCCAAAGAAGGTGATCCTGGACGGCCGGGACCGCTTGGTCCTGCCCTGTCACACCACGGTGGCCGTGGACAGCGGGGCGCTGTCTGTAGCTATATCAGCAAGCTCTAATGTGACGGTGACGGTGGGAGGAAACATCAGCTTCGTCATCTTGCTGCATCAGTATAAAAACCCCGCCCTCTACCAGAAAGACCACCTGGGGTTCTACATCGCCAACAGCACGGGGCTTTCACACAACTGCCATGGTCTGCTAGGTACGTAGCAGCAAAGAACCGCCCTCTTCCTCCAGTGGGAACCAGCCAATCATACGGCTGCAGCTCAGTTCTTTAAGTCTACGTTCACACTGTAGGCCTTAATGCAGAATTCCGATCTTTTTGCATTGCTGTTTAATTCATTGTTAATTCACACAAAGCATGTTTCCAGTACGCGCAGTAGAGGACGTAATGATCACAAGCAAGCTCTGTGTTTACAGAAGTAAACATGGATGGTAGTGCTGGAGAGAGTCTAGCCATCTTTCCCAACCTTAAAAACTCAATCTTTTCAAGATGGTTAAACATAAATCCTAAATTGATATAAAAATTTGTGTTAAACTATTAATATTCATTTGCGAAATGTACATCTTTGCATTTATCTCATCCAGTTTGAGTTCAGTTTAAATAGTTTTTAATCTGAATAAATATGTTTAATCTAACATAAATGTAATTCTAACATTTGTTTTGGTCTTTTAAGGGGTTGTGACATATAAGAGATTATTGTAATGTTATCTCTGACTCGTCTTTCATGGGATTCTGACAGCAGCCATCTGAAATGTGGTCCGATCCAAGATGGCCGCCCTGCGTTTAATAAGGCATCTACGTCTATCTATAATGTGTCACCATCTTTAACATTAGCCTGTTTTTTAAAATCTATTTTCATCCTCCAGAACCGATTGATCATTTATATTAGATAGACGTCCATCTATCAGCTAAGATATTTTCTCATTGAAATGTTTAATAAAATCCAGTCTTGCGGAAGCAAAACTGCAGCAAGACTGTAAGTTATGCTTCCTGACCGACTTTCCTCATAAGTAAATAACAGAAGAGACTAAGAATCATTTCAGTTTTGTTAGAAAAAGCATAAAGCTGCAGGAACATAAACCCTGAGATTAAAACAACTTCTATTTGCCCCCAATATCAGGTCAGTTCCTGCATGAGGAAGTGGGAGTGGTGCAGCGTCCAGCCCACCGCGACGACCCCCCCTCTGTGTTTCTGGAGGTCAAGGACCGATCAGTGCCGGTGGTTCCTAAAAGCAGGAGGATCAATGGCGGGAAGCAGAATGTGGACTGCTGGTTTGCCCGACACAACGCAGAGAAGCTGATAGACGGACGGTACGAGGACTATGTGGCTTCCCACATGTTTGATACAGAAGCCTGGCCTGTGGGGACCAGAAACACCTGAAAATTACCTCCCCCAGCAGGGCATTAATGAATATTTTTTTATTTTACTTTCTATTTAGCAGAATAGAAGTTAATGGCTGCAAGTCGCTACAGAATTTTTTACAATTTCTAATGAAATATGTTTTTTTTTATCTAATGTTTATTACTCTACATGTTAAAATGAATAAAGAGTTTAAATCCAGGCCTGCTTCTGAGGAATGAACCCCCCCCCCTCCAAACACACACCTGTTTATCACAGGATTCACTACCCAGCCTGGTCTTCCTCAGAGCTCCCCTGTCATCAGCTGCAGGTCACAGGGCTGCAGGCCCCGCCCACACAGGTGTGCTCCGGCTGCTCTCCCTCAGAAACTGGGCAGCCAAGCACAGCTCCGGTATTGATCGCCTATATAGCAGAGCGGCTAATTGGCGCCATCATCAGACCCTCAGCTGCCTCCGGCGTCACTCCTTCCAAAATTTGGTTTCTTAAAAAATGCAATCAGGTAGAAAATGGCAGGAACAGGAAGTTCTCCACTGTACTGAACACAGACTGGATCTCAGTATAAAGAACCTTAATAAAATAAAGTACCTCAGACATAAAACAATAGATAATAATTATAAATAATATGAAATAAAATGCAATGATAAAAAAGTTTATTTCAATCTAATAATTCTTTTTAAGGTTTAGGAAGACATAAACATAGATGTTCTTTTAGCGTTTCCTTGGTTTAGATGTGATGACGGTTTGCAGCATCCGTGTGGCTTCACCCGCCCAGCTGGACCCAGAACTGAAGAACCAAGCAGGTCCAGAAAGTTCCCAGCAGGTAAAGTTAGAGAAACACGATTCTGTTCCAGAACCAGAACAGCTTTAATTTAAAGGTGAAGGAACGTTCAATAGTGCAAACATGAAGCAGCTTCGTTCAGACGGTTCTGCTGCGGATCAGAGGGTTTTATGAACCGTTTTCAGACCCGGTGGATCTTTGGTTCCGGAGGTTCTCCAGATCCAGAGGAGAACCTGCTGATTCAGTCACAAGAAGAGGCTGATTCAGTCACAAGAAGAGGCCAGAGCCTCGTTCAGTTCAGGAGACACGAGTCCAGGTGATGCGTTCAAGATCATCACGATACAGATCAGGACCTTCAGCAGCAGAACCGTTCTGGGTTTACAGCGTCACCCAGCTGGGTCTCAGTGCTCCACCCGAGTACTGCTGCTCCTCCACATCTTCTGAGTCCGTCTCATCCGTCAGCAGGACCTGAGAGACGAAGACAGAACAGGTCCAGAGCTGATGAAGACATTCAAAGACCACAAAACAAAACATTTTAGTTTCACCCTTTCTTCAGGTTTCAGAATCCAGAGATCTGAAAGCAGAACCGCCCTCATGGTGGAGATGCTATGATCCATCATTGCTGATTATTAACATCTGGTTAATAAATTCTAACTGTTCTAGTTCTGTTTTCTATCATCTGGTTAATAAGTTCTGACTGTTCTACTTCTGTTTTCTATCCTCTGTTTAATAAGTTCTGACGTACCAGAGGAGGGATCTGGCATCTCAGATCATAACATTTTGGTCTAAATCTATCTGCTAACATTCTATGCAAACATTTCTACAGATGGAAGAACAGATCTTTATTCTGATTCTGACTGCTGTTAGAACATGAGAACGTCCACCTGGTCCTCAGGGTGGAACCCGTTTAGTTCTGCTTTAGAACCGGATCTGGACTGACAACTCGGAACCAAAGGAAAACCAGAACATCCATCGTCACCTGAGACTCTTCGCTGCCGCCCCCTGCTGGCAGAGACTCGTCCTTCTTCTCGGACGCGTCCTTGCTGGTCTTGCACCTCCTCATGGTCAGACTGTCGACCACCCAGAACATGACGGCCTGAAGGAGGCAGCAGAGGAAGGCGGTGAGGCCGGAGCTCGGTCCGACTCCGCCTTCATCAGACCCAACTTACATTGACGACGAATGGAACAATGAGCATGACCAGCGCCAGCTCCAGCTGAGGGTTGGAGATGTAGCTCAGCAGCACCTCCTGCAGCTGGATCACAGTAATTACAGCCATTCAGAACAATATCAGGAAGCAACATGTCAGTCCTGCAGCTCTGACACCTTTATCCTCCTAAAACATGAAGGATGTCGTCTCTCGAAGACCAAAACTGTTAATTCCTCAGATTCTCCTAATGTTGTAAAAGTTTAATTCAACATTTCACCACAACTTCTAAGCAGAATTTCTATCATCTGGTTAAGGAGTTCTGACTGTTCTACTTCTGTTTTCAATGCTCTGGTTAATAAGATTGGACTGCTCTAATTGTTTTCAATGCTCTGGTTAATAAGATTGGACTGCTCTAGTTCTATTTTCTATGCTCTGATTAATAAGTTCAGACTGTTCTAGTTCTGTTTTCTATGATCGGTCAATATTTTCCGACTGTTCTAGTTCTGTTTTTTACCATCGTCAATAACTTCTGACTGTTCTAATTCTGTTTTCTATTCTCTGGTCAATACGTTCTGACTGTTCTAGTTGTTTTATATGATCATTAATAAGTTCGGACTGTTCTAGCTCTGTTTTCTATGCTCTGGTCTATAAGCTCGGACTGTTCTAGGTCGGTTAGTTTTCTATGCTCTGGTCAATAAGTTCGGACTGTTCTAGTTGTTTTCTATGATCGGTTAATAAGTTCGGACTGTTTTAGGTCAGTCTGTTTTCTATGCCCTGGCGTTGGCGTTTCGGGCCTAACTGCAAACTTGTCCAGTCTGAGCAGGGAAGTACATACTGGAGTAGCCCCTCCCCCTTACCTTGGACCATCCTGGGATGAGCAGAACCAGGCTGATCACACCTTTCTCCAGCACCATGATGAGCAGGTAGACGCCACCCTGACCGAGCCACGCTGCAGCCTGGGGAGGGTCCCCTGGTGGACAGGAGACATTCAGCTTATTGTCTACAGCCTGGCGGCTTGTTCTAGAAAAGATTTCTATCATAGAAGGAGGAGGACGCTCAACAGCTCTGGGTCTACAGCACCCTCTAGTGGTAGAAACCAGAGGGAGGCTCCTTTCCCTCAGTGGACTGTGTTGGTGTTTTTCTCACCATATTCTCCAAACTGAAGCAAACTCCACTGCTTGATCTCCACCAGTCTGGAGACCAACTTCACAGCCACCCAGATGACGAGCATCCCCAGCGTGGCGTCCAGCAGGAAGTTCATCAGATACCTGTGGGCACGTGAAAACTTTTCTTTTTGATTCTCTTCATTCTGTTCCTGTTGATGAATCAGTGGATGAAAGGAGGACAGAAACGAATCAGACCTGAACTCAGGGATTTAGCATTCTGAACGGCAGATTTTGTGGAGTTGTTGAGAGCGGTAACCGGTCGCTGCCACCATGATCTATCAGTAATCTCCACCATTTGGGCCTACTGTACGGTTAATACTGGGCAGTCTATGCATATCAGCTTTTCTTCTTCCACCAAACTTCCATGAATGAGCTCTTAGCCACTGGCTGCACTCCTCCAAACGCTGTTGCTCATTCTGGATTTAAAGTCCTCTGTGCGACTCACGACTTTGAGGACATGGAGGGTGCTGTCCAAGCTTCCATCCTTCATGGACACCACCTTCCACCCTCTGCACCAGACTGTAGAGGAGCTAAGCAGCTCCTTTAGTCAAACACTTTTACACCCCGTTTGGAAAAAGGAGCTCTACCACGGGTCATTCATCTCTGCTGCCACATTGTGAAACTACAACGGCAATAACTTGTGCAATATATGATGTGCAATTTGACATCCAGTGCAATAACTATTTATACAAATATAAGTATCTATCTATATAAATACCCATGTAAACACCCTGTGCATAAATCCTGTCTAATAATTCTGCTACTAGAAAAAAAAAAGAAAGCTGTCATATGTGGATGCATTTTATTTACTTTATATATCCCTTGCACCATTTTCTTCCTCTTCTTTTTTGACTATTTGAGCTGATGTAACAAGTAAATTTCTCCACTGTCAATCATGTCAGAACTGCAGACTCACAGGGAGCAGGGGTCCTCTTCGGTGAGCGTGGACAGGAAGACGTTGGCAAAGTGGATGAACAAAGCTCCGATGGCCTGCTTGGATGTGTCAAAAAACCTGGAAAAGACAAAGTTTGTTAACCTGATGAATCCCGTCTCAGTCGCTTAGCTGCTGCTGCAGTGAGATGTAAAGGAGAAGGCAGAAGTCTGACCAGATCCTCCATGGCCGTCGGACGCCCAAAGGCTCCCGGAACCTTTTCACTGAAAAACAACAAAGCAAACAGTGACATGAAGCTCCAGAATACAACTCGTATGTCTGCAGGACGTCCACTGAGGAAAAAACCAAGCAGAACCAAGCCGGAATGGACCACAGGAACCCTTTAGATCCAGACGATGGACGAC